TATATATATATATATATATATATATATATATATATATATATATATATATATATATATATATATATATATATATATATATATATATAATACGTGCAAAAAAGTGGGGAGAGAAACTTGAAACCAAGTGTGAGAGTTGCACTACCCAAAATTCAGATGCATTTATTCTGGAATTGCAGGTATGATTTTATGAGTGCGTATGTTGGAATTGATTTGATTTTACATAATTAATCTTTGGTTTTATGTTGTCGAGAGGATGCATCGTTATTGTCTTGAGGTTCTTCATGTACCAACTGATGTAAACAACTTTGAGTCGTGGCCTCGGGACCGACGCGGCTCGGTTCGGGTCCGGACGACGGGGACCTCCCTGGAGCATTCCTCGAGCCCGCTAAGGCGGTCGGGTGCGGTGTCTGATCGGGACGGAGTAGCCGTCTCCTCCGGGCAGGAACTCCTTGCCTGTACGTCCGGAGGGGTCCTTCGGCTTCGCACCTGCACAAAGGTCGAGCCGAGGCGCTTGGCCCGACCCCTCCGACGATCAAGTTAGCATATGTGGAGGGGGTTTCAGATGAAGAAATGTTTTTGTGTGTCTGTTTCTCCTCCCCTCTCTCTGATGAACGAGAGAGTATTTATAGGGAAGCTTACTGCTTCCTGAGCTGCCCGCTTGCAGGGGGCAAGCTGGTAGCGTCTGAGTTTGTGTTGGCGTGACGTGAAGAATTGAGCTTTGGCAGGATGTTAATGCGCCTCGATCGATGTTCCGGTCTACATTAACCAGGTGCTGTTACGTGAGGCGTCATCTGACATCAGTCGAGTCTTATCATAATTACTATCCTCGTCATCCTCGTCACCAACCAATGTATGGAGCCTTCATTTTGATGTTCTAATCATCACAGCCTTCGTATTTTACGAACTTAAGTACATGCCCCAATGCAAACCATTACATGCTCAAATGATGCCAAGCATGATGGCAATACATTAAGTTTATTTTTATTGTTGTTTAGTAAACAGGTTCTCTAGTGTTGTCTTCAATATAAAAAGGAACATAAAACTGTCTCCTATGCCACAGATCCTATAAATGACCCAATTCTTTGATCTCGATGTGTGGAAATGACATTCTTAATCTGATACACAGTAACTATCCAGGAGACTGCAATGGAGATTGCCCGACTAGAGGTTGAACACTGAGAGGGCTTGGTGTACTGTACTTGTTCTCCTCTCCATCGACGTCCTCATGGCTGTCTCCATCTTGGCTTCCCCCTCCCTCGTTCTCCTCCAAAGACCTCATCTTCGTTTCCGGCGTGAAGAGATAGGTGTGTACTGCTCCTATCATGCAAACACCAGCCAAGATTATTAAGGCGTTCATCATTCCAATTCCCGGCTTCCACCCGCTGGCCACGTCCTCTTTGTTCCTCGCCTGAGAGGCCCAGAGGAATCCGATTGCTCCGATGATGGCGCCCACCTTGCCGGCGGCCCCGGAGATGCCGTGGCACGTGGAGCGGAACCGCGCCGGGAACAGCTCGGCGGGCACGATGAAGGTCGTGGTGTTGGGTCCGAAGTTTGAGAAGAAGAAGGTCAGGGCGTAGAGGACGATGTAACCGGCGTTGGTGTGGTGGTTCCAGTAATTGTCGTAGGGGCCTGCCAAGGCGAAGAGGAAGAGGCCCATGAAGAAGAACCCCATCATCTGAATCCTGCGCCTGCCGACGCGTTCGATGAAGTAGACGGTGGCGAAGTAGCCGGGGATGGTGGAGGCCGCGGCGATGATGGCCTGGAACTTGGCCACGTTGTAGGCGTCCTGGTAGGCGTTCACGTGTTCGGGGCGGGGGAAGAAGGGCTGGTAGATCTGGGACTGGAAGAGGGTGCTGCTGTAGTAGGGGATGTCGACGAGGAACCACGCCATGGCGCAGGCGAAGAGGTTCCAGCCGTGCCGGCGCAGGAACTGCCGCGAGAGGAGGCCGTAGGAGGGAGGACGAGGCTGGGGTGACCTGCGCAGGGCTTCGGCGTCTTCCGCGAAGTTGTGCACGTCCAAGCCCCCCAACACCTTCCCCATGTCGGCGGTCGCCTTCATCACGTTCTGTTCTACCAGTGCTGTGAATCTGCAGAGGAAGAGTCGATGTGATCGTATGATTTCCATGGTGACCACGGAGGGAGGGTGTTCATACCTGGCCGTCTCTGGCATCGCTATCCTCCAGTAGAACGTCAACCCCGCCGGAATGGCGCCCACCATCAGTATGATCCGCCACGCCAAGTCGGCCGACTCCGGCGTCTGCAGCGGCCCGGCGTCGCCCCTCTCCGTCGCCCTGTTGAACGCCGCCGTTATCGCCATGGTCACCGCAGAGCTCGCGAGGATCCCGAACCCCTGCATCGAGAACACGGCGGCGATGAACGACCCCCTCGTCCGCTTGTTGGCGAACTCCGACATGATGGTGGCCGACAGTGGGTAGTCGCCGCCGATGCCGATGCCCAGCAGGAAGCGGAAGAGGCAGAGGCTAGTCAGCACGCAGCCGCGGGTGCGGCAGATGGAGAATCCGCTGGCGAAGGAGCTGGCCACCATCAGGAGCAGCGAAAGGCCGTACATGCGCCGCCGGCCGATGCGGTCGCCGAGGAAGCCGAAGACGAGCTGACCGATGACGGTGCCCGCCAGCGCCACCGCGACCATCGCAGAGGCCACCGCCGGCGGCGTCACGCCGGGCTTGCCTGCCCGCGCGTCGCCGTAGTAGATCCGGCCGATCAGCTTCATCACGGGGGCGATGCAGAAGAGGTCGTAGGAATCGGTGAACAGCCCCATGCCGGCGATAATGATGGCCTTGAAGTGGTAGTACTGCGTCCTCGCGTGATCCAGCGCGGTGAGCACCTTCAAGGCCATCTTGCTCGATCCCAAGAACACGACACCAGCTTCAGGATCGGTCAGAGTGGCACGACAGCAGCAGAAGAGAAGCAGTTATGACAGCCCACCGTTGACATGATCGAACACGAAGCGAGGAACTCGAAACCAAGATTCCGAGGTAGATGCCGAAGATCTCCAATATCTAAATAAATACGTACTGACATGATCCGGGGAAAAGGGCACGAACAACAGACATGGACTCGCCCACTAATCATCGAGCACGTACCCGAGTAGCGCACGTGTGGGGTGTTCGAATGCGTCCCACCAAGACGTCGCTGCGCGGGGCATCTGACGTGATCGGATCCACGGTTCAACCAATGGGAGAAGGGCCGTCGTCTTCGCTGCCGAAGATTGGTAACTTGGCTTTTTCTTCTCCGGTTCGTTCCTGGAACAAGCAGGCAGAGAAATTTAAGCTTAGTTACCTGCAGTCGAGTAGAACTTATCTTCAGCCGATGGCTGCCAAACTCATCGGTGGTTCTTCTTTCTTGGATGGATCAGCTACGAGTCAGTGCAATAGATGAAGAATGGTCAGCGCCAGCAAACGATTAGAGAAGCCAAATGTGTCTAGCTCACAAGACCTGTCTTATCAACTGTCATGCAAACCTAAATAGTCCATGTCTGATGTGAAATGTTCTTGCCTGTGCAATAAACACAATTGAGAAGAACATAGATGTATTGTCTGATTTATCTTACCTAAACATTGTGCTTCATAGCTTCTAATCAGTTTCGTATTATCTTAAATCCAAATAACAATTACTTCTATACATATCTAGAATCCATCTCAACCCATATCCATGACAAATTTGGTTTGTATCTATACCCCTCTTAAAATATTCATAATATGAAGATTATTAATCTTTTGGCATCCATGATCACCCTACAAAGCTTGATATGGAACTTTTCTCTGCTGCCACTCCTGGAGGCTTGGGAGATTGCCTGGGGACAACACTGCAAGATATCACCTTGTCTGGATGAGATCAGCACTCGATAGACTATGTACATATACATAAGCAGTCATGCAAGTGCAAGTTTCCAGCATTAAGAAGCAGCTTTAATTAACAATAAGATAGTGACACTCTGCTCAGAGGAGAAAGAAAAAAAATCTACTTGTTGGGCACAATAAATGAACACAGCTGTCACTGAATTTGATATTCCATCTGTTGACTATTTGATCCAGTAAGATTACATAACACATCATTTCTTTAGACTCGTAGATGAATATTGGTAGATTGCTTGTTGTAGAAGAAAAAGACCATGATTTGTTTAAGCTGAATTCCACACACACACACACATAAATATCACTTCAAAACTAATGATTTTAATATTTAACCCCTTCAATATAAGTTCTGTATATATCTCCATAACATTCAACATTTTACTCTCATATTATGGTAATTAAATTTTGCCAATTGACTATTAGCATTTCTAAACTTGGATATGATATATATACATATAAAGACCATTTGTTTATTACCCTTCAAAGACTCTGCAATCATTAAAGCACCAATTATTCAAAATCATTAATCATAGTAGAGGAAAGACACAATAAAAAAAACGCAATAAAATTTACTAAAATAAAGAGAAATACCTCCTTGAACTTGCATAAAGGTTGGCCTGGTGGATATCAGAGTCAAATTCCCTTATTTCAGTTGATCCTACCAAATGAGAATTCGACAACATGAGCAACAGAACCTTAGATGGCAGCAGAAAGCTTGTCAGCCTCCCGCCGTCGCCATTCCCTCCTTTGAACCAACCATCTTACTCCTACATGGAGGTACATGGACTTCTTAGATGAGAATGTGTCAGTAATGCTGGTAATAAGGGGATACAGGAGGGATGTCTACACCTTTTTCTCACAGATGTGGTATTTTTTCTGGACATTGACTTCTGGCTTTCAACAGGTGTTGTTTAGTTTGCTGAAATAGATAGTTCAGCCAACAACTTATTCATTCTTGCCACCCACTGCAGAGTACATGTTATCTATGAATTGCAGCCTGCTTGATATGAGAGGATCTTACAGAGCAATGGCCACAAATTTTCCAACTCCAAAGTATGATTTTATTTTTCCTTTTCTTCAACATGGATGATTGATCATCTTTGCTGCATTGTGGCGATACATCCATTTAAAATCTTTGGATAAGAATGAGCTTGAAAAGTTGTTGAGACAACTCATACCAGGGGAATAGTAATTGAGATGCTAGTGTGCCTCTGCAGACAACTCATACCAGGTGTATAGTAATTGAGCTCCTTTTGTTTTGAATATGCTAAACTCAACATGCCCACTCGCAAGGGTTTGGGGTTTGGCAAAGAATGTACGATCATGTGATAATTCTCTCGTGCAGATGATCAGAAACCTCTGATCTTGAAATGCTTGCTTTTACCTAAGATATGATATTTGCAGATTAGAAATGAGTCTGAACATAGATAGGTCTCCATGCCTCTGCATACTGTTTGATATCATTAGATCCACCTGATGGACTCTGTCAGAAACTGATGTGGTGAATCTGCATATCCACTGTTGTATTGACGATGAACTTTCCATAGGAATGCCAGAATATATCCATCTCATTTGAATCCCATCTTGCAACTAAGTTTCCCAACTTGGGTTGTCAGACTCCAATGCTGACATCCATAATCTATCCTACATATTGTTGGACATGATTTGGGATTACCATCTGTTCTTGTTCCACAAGCACCTGCAGATTCCAGCAGGGCAACAGAATTTATAGACCACACTGCGACAAAGAGTGATCCAAGCTCTTGTGCTTTCAGCTCACTCCATGGGAGAAACAGAATTTATAGACCACAACCAGAACAAGCTGCAAAATAGGATCCATCTCTTAATCCGAGATCCTATTATCATGAACAACAAAAAGAACAGCAATATGGCATCTGTAATACCAGATTTTCTTGCATCAAAACAAAGCATAGAAAGAAACAACATGAGTATGCTTGATTTATATAGAATATCCTATTCGGAGTGAAAATGCAGTCTTGCTAATACAAGAACAAGTCCTGATGTTGATACTTGATACAAACAAACATAAACAGGGAACCCTCAAGATCCCTTGTGTAAAGCACAGAATACATTAAGTACACTTTCAGGAACTTAAGTTATGAGTTTTAGATGCATGAACACCAAAAACTGGCATGAAAGCAAGACCAAGGGGATTATGAAGTAGGAATCACTTTTGCTGCAATGACTTGATCAAGAACTTGAAGTAGGAACCCCAAAAATGACCCTGCTTCCTGGTACTTGTCATATTACAAATAATCAATTCTGCAATATCTGGAGGGAATCTCCAAACAAAATAGTGAACCATCCTTTAAAAGCTTCTAAATATTTTTGACTTGTACGAAAGATAATTATCATTCCACAAAGATCATGGTTTGAATGTATTTTAGGACTGGAAAACAAAAAGAGACAAAAAAGTTTCAACTCTTATATAGACGTGAACAAGAAGATCAAACTGAGAATTCAAAGATCAAAGAACAGTTCAGAACGGGACAAAATGGTTGAAGGATTTTAAAATAACAAATAACTAAAACATCATAAAACTTTAAAAGCTCGGTTTACTTCAAAGAACTAATGATTGTATGTAAGATACATCAGCATGTAGAAGAGACATGCATAGCAGCTAAATCAAACACATCAATGCATGCCAACATGTTGTGTCTTCCTCCTTATTAACTGGTTGGCATAGGAACAGTAAATAACAACCAAATCCTTGAGTGCACATGCATATAGAATTAAAATCCAAAACTACTCAATTAGGATAAGCTACATGGATATACCCTTTTCGTCAACTACTCAATGCTCACTAAGAATAAAACATCATAAGTAAGAAATTCATTAAGAGCATCACATATATAATTGGATATTAAGTAGAACTAACCACTAGAATGTGTAGATGATAACTTTCAGGGCAAGAATGTGTGCCAAAAATATGGAAACACTGTTGTTCTTAGTCCTGCTGCAAGTTGAGGGTATCATTGAAAATAACAAATTCCAATCTCAGTTAGTTCAGAAAGGCATCAAGAATCATAGAGTAAGACCTATAATGGACTTAGCTTGTATTACCTAAATTGTATGACTCCCTTGCATGTCCGTCTACAAGGGGTCAACCTCCTTGAAACCTCTTATGGTCCATAAGGACCTTGTCCTCTGACTTGTCGAGCTCCCTCAAACGAATATGAGTTCTGGAGAAGTCTAACTCTCCAGCTACTTCGATCATATTTCTGTATGATCGAGTCTCCTCCATGTGATTCATTGGTACTTACATTCGAAATCCCTCTCAGTGGTACACAGCCCTCATATGCTTATAACTAAGGCTTTCATCCAATGTAAAATTTGGTGCATAGATGGAAGATTCACCTCTATGGTACCATGACATTCACTCATTGAAACCATAGCCCTTCTTGTCATCATAATTTTCACTGAAGTGGAACTACCAGTAGTTCCTGATCATACCTCTGTATAATCAAGTCCCTCACAGGACTTTCCTCGTGTGTTTCACATCACCTCGAACTATTCTATCATAATCCACCGTACTATATCACCTCTTGGTGACATCTCTATTATATTATGATATTTGTGGGATGAACTCAGACTACGATATCTCTATGTGTGACCCTCGCCAGCATATTATAGTACCTCCGTCATCTTTGATTGTATTCGCTCCTTTAGCAATTAACATTCGTCCATCCACTCTCGGGTCACACACAGACGAAACGTAGCTCTAGGGCAACCCGTATCATCATACACACTTCAAAAAACCTAAAAAATATAAATCTTTCTTTCTTTCTTTTCGAGTATGCCAAAATCTTAAGTTAGAATGTAAATCAGAAGAGAACTCCCACTGATGGATTTCTTCTAAAAGGTTAGGGCTTTATGATCATATCATTTAAGATACAAAACTACAAACAAACAACAAGATCAGAAATTTTTTATTTTCTGTTCCACAATTCTTAGTTCCAGTGCTTCTTGCGCTCATTCATCCAAGTGATTAGTTCCCCAGATACAGAAATCAACTTAGGTATATGATAACAGTTGTAGATACCCAATCCAAGGTTCAGTACTCTGTTTCTTTAACAAAAAACAACTACTGTTAAAAAAAAACACAAAGGAGACAAACTAACCTATATGGCAGATATGGTAACCCTTCACGGTAGCTGAATGGAACTGATTGTTGAGGAGCAGCGCTTCCAACATATGAACCGCGTGGAAGTGAGACAGCTCCAATGTAGAGGTCTCACCTTGGGCGCACTAAAATAGAGATCCAACAAACAAAACAATGTTTATGTTAAAAAGTGTCTAACATGTTATGCATATATGACAAAGGAAGAAGAGTGAAAACATAAAGAATGATGTAATTCATTTTTGAAACATAATTCAGCATTTCCCATAGCATAGTTTTGAACCATCATTCAGCATTTCCCAGATCATAAGCTAGTCAACCTACTATCATATTTACCTGTGCAAAAGCAACATGTATATTAATGAACTCAAGAATTGCACCCTCAAGAGTATTGAATACAGTAATATCTTCCATGAGCCGCTTGATTGGACAGGTCAAGGACCTCTTCCAAATGGAGTAGATGAGCCTGGTGATGACGATTGAAAAAGAAAAAAATTTATGAGTCCAGTTTGCTTGATATACTTACCATAATGCACTCTGAGACTATCAGTAAACGAGTGACCTAGGGCAAAGGAACTTTAGGACCATGGAAAGGTCACAGAAGATAGAGGTGGAATTAGCAGACAGCACACTCCAATGTAACTTGAAAAAAGATTGTGGCACACAAAAATAAATTAAATGCCACCTTAATATAAAAGATGTGCCCTCCAGAGCCAATGACTTTATGATTGACTTAATTAGCACAATTAAGTGACTTGGTGTACTCAACATATATTATATGAGCAGGAGGTACCACTTTTGTAAGACAAAATATGTTGACACCTCCACATGAATGAAATTATCCAATAATAAACAGCCAAATGCGAAAAGAAAATAATGCATTGGGTCATGGTTACTATATCATCATAACCATGGCCAGAGTCTTGTTACTGCCGTTAAGGGCAGCAACAAGTAGTGATGAGAAACAATAAATTGGATAACTTATATGGAGCAATTCAACAGATTTTCAGATGCAACTTATCAATCTCAAGCAGTGATTTAAAAAGGCGCTCGGGCGCTCGCCTAGGCGCTCGGGCGAGGCGAGGCGAGGCCCGAGCGCCTCGCTAATCTCCCAGGCGACGCGCATCAAACAGGCGCCGCCTGGGCGCTCGCCCGAGCCCAGGCGCTGGGCGCTTCGGGCGAGGGCCTGGGTTAACCAAGACGACCGAACCAGGATTTTAGGTCTGGTTCGATCTCTGATGGTTAGTTGGTTCAATCGAACCAACTAAAATCGATATAAGTGAGAACCCAACCCTAACCCTCACCGCTACCGCTGTCGCTCCCGATCCCGATCCCGATCTCGCTGCTCGTCGCTCCTGCTCCCGCTGTCGTTGCTCGCCGCTGTCGCTGCTCACAAACGCTGCCTCTGTCGTCGCTCGCGCCTCCCGCTGCTCGCCGCTCTTGCTCCCGCTCCTACTCCCGCTGCCACTGCTCGCCGCTGTCGCTGCTCGCGCCTCCCGCTGCTCGCCGCTATCGTCGCTCGCCGCCGCTGTCGCTTATCTTTTCTCAGTCAGTCAGCAGGCTCAGCACCCCCTTACACTTCCTTCTTCTCCTTCTGCTAACAGTATACTGTATACTGTTAATATTGTTAGGTTTATTTGAAATTATTAATTTTCAATATTGTTAATAGATTTTCTTAATTTAATAACATATTTTAATTTAAAATATTAAATAATTATATTTATTAATTATATTATATATTTTTATATTTTAGCGCCTCGCTTCGCTCGGGCGAGGGCCTGACGCCACGTTTTTGGACCTTGGTGTCTTTTGACGCTTAGTGCTTTTTAAATCACAGATCTAAAGGAAAGATTGAAATGCAGCTTTCAGAAATACTACCATAATCAGAGATTCGGAGTTATACCACCAAATGTTGGAAAAGTGCCGAGCCGCCCAAGTGAAGCCAAGTTACAATTTGCCCGTCTGCCATCGATTAATGGGCTTTGGTCTGCACATGCTCTTCTTGCAGATTCCGGATCTCGAAAAGTTACCTAATTCCTCCATGCAAATAAACATCGTCACATCCAATGTAGAAGTCACCATAACAGAGAAAAACACTGACAAGTCAAATCTCTCCTCAAAATCTCCATCCTACCAAAGAACCCGCAAGAAGCGCTAAGGCGAGCAATACTCACGAAACCATAACCCTTCCACCTCCCGGCCTTCTTGTCGGCGATCACGACGGCCTCAAGGATCTCGCCGAACTGCTCGAAGTGGCGGCGCAGCGTCTCGTTCTTCGTCTCCCACGCGAGGCCCCCCACGAAGACCTTCCTATACGTCTGTGTCCCCAAAAGGGGAACTCAGGTGGTGGGGCCCGGAGCTGGAGCTCGACGCCAATCCGGACGCCGAGCCCGGCAGCGGGTGGTGGAAAGACATCGAACGGTCCCACAAGAACCAAAATTCCAGGCCGGAGAAAAAGCGATTTGGAAGGGGAGGACCGGACCAACCGCCGAATGCCTAGATTAGGGGTTTAAAACAGAGAAGAGAAGAAGAGAACTTTCTTGGAGATGGGAAGGAATCCAACAGAGGGATCGAAGAAATAGAAAGAGGAGGGATGGGATCGAGCTCGAAAATGCAACGAATCGATCGCTTTCAGGGAAGAACATCTATTTGCGTTATCGCAAACTCTTACTATAACGAAGAAGAATGAACGGGGGAATTTGTATCGTTCTTGCGTCGCTAGTTCCAGAATCGATAGATCCGTAGTATCTCTTCGAGTTCAATGTTTGATTTTGGATGGTTGAGTTCCTTTCGATCATCTACTTCAGTACATTCATGTTATTCAAACAGTTTTCATGTTATAACTCACTCGGCCATCGCTATTTATATTATAGGATTCACGTTGATTTGCTTCAGTGGTAATAACATCGGTTTATTGTCTCCTCTAACTCGTTGGGCTCTATAAAATAAATATAAGTTTTGGAGTAGTCCAGCTCTCTAATCGTTCTGTCCAGCGTATTTACACTCAAAATTTCTCCTTAGTGATATACAGCTCTTGTATGCTGATGAATAAGACTTTCATCTGATATAAAATTTGATGCACGCACATAAGTCCGCCTCTATAATATCATGATATTTACATTGAATCCATAACTCTTCTTATCATAGTGTTGTTCTTCTTATCGTAGTGTCACATTATCTCAAACTATTCCATCATGATCCGCTGCATCATGTTGTCTCCTAGTGACATCTTTATTGTATTTTGATCTTTGTAGAATGAATTCGGACTGCGATCTTTTCATATATAGCCTCTATTAGCACATTGCAGGCCTTTACCACCTCCTCTTGTGTTCACTTTTTTGACAATTGACTTTTGTCCACCCGCTATCGAGTCACACTCGAATAAAGCACAACTCTATGATAGTCTGTTGTCTAATAACTCTCAAAATCTATTGACTTCGTTGAAATTTGTACGCAATTGTTTGGATCTTATACCTCTGCCCCTTAGCACAATTTCCGTTGTGTATCGCTTTCTTCGTGGCAACTCGAATGACAGCACTACGATATAATTTTCAAGAGTATCAGCCTTCACATCCTCTTGGCCTGTGTCAAGGCATTCTAACCGTAACTTTACCTCCGCAAGTTGAGTTGGCTTAGTTCCTCTATCAAATGCCTCTGCTCTATGTTCCTTCTTTTTTGTTGACCCCCTTCATACAATTTGTGTACTGCATCAAATTTCATCGAAGTTACTCCACTCCTCGATTTGTATTCGGTTGATGGTGGCTCTTGCACTCACCATTTCATATATCAGTCCTCCGTTAAGTCTGATCTCCATATCGACTATAAGGATACCTTCATTTGGTATTATCTTACGTCGCTTCCCTACTTGATCTAATAATGCATCTATTATCGTATTATCTCATATGAGATTATGCGATGACTCCTCGTCGTTCGTTCAATTTATTGAGCTTTGTGGAATTATTATCTTGAGGTATTCTTCCTCAACATATGTAGTCAATTACACATGATTCTTCCTCTAGATAAATAGGACTTATCTCTCCTAGATATCTATCTCAATGGAATAACTTTTCTTTTCACATCCTTCCCTCTAGAAGTTTCAAAGACCATCATCCTCTTAGACTATTTTGTCTTGCTGAACAAACTGTGTATTATTCTGTTCTCATGAACACACTTGCTAGATTACAACTCTTCATCAATATAGTACCCTCGTTGCATCTCTCAAAGCTTAGTGATATGCTAAACTTGCTACACACTTCAACCTCATACGGATGTATCCTTTTCATACTAAAATAAAAAAAATTTAATGCTCCACGACGTCGAGTTTTGGTCGCTTTGGGATGGCCACGGATAGTCTATTGTCCATATACAAGCCCTTACATTAGTATCAGATTCTTTAAATTAGCAATTTTCCTCACCTTTGTGAGTTTTATACAAATCTATTGATCGTTGAGTAACTCATCCCACCTTGCACGGTCTTATCCTTTGCTAAACGCCTCGTTTGTCTTGAGCACCATCAAATTTGATTGCCAACATCAAGTCATAGTTCAAACTCAACCATCTCAACCTTTTATACACTGTGTTTTACCCAATTCATTTGTCCTCGTAGTGTCTCTCACATTAAGGGTTGATCATTCCTCTTAATATCAATTTCGGATGTTCGCTCCTCAGAGCATCTTCTTTCTCTAAGTTTCTATGTTTGTTTCCTCCAAATAATCGTGTGTGTTGACTACCCTCAACATAGCCCCACTAGGTCCCCAAGTTTACATGTTAAGTATTTCTAAGTATGCTTATCATGCTCATTTGGGATATTTATTAAAGAGTATTTATTATATTTTTTATATAAGATTTAATACGATATATATATATATATATATATATATAATGTGAATTATTTTTATACATATTTTTTTATAAAAGATAAGTAGCAATTCGACCTTCCGATAATTTATCAAATTCTTTATCAACTCAAACTTGACCTTATTATAATCTATCAAGGTCTTGAGTAGCTAAGGCTAGTCAGCATCTTAAAAATATGTCAGATTAAGTTTTGAACCCTTAATATTTGATCAATCAATTTGGTACATCACTATTAAACTAATATTTTAAGTACAAAAATATGTTAGATAAGATTTTAAATTCATAATGAATCTGATACCAATATTTAAAATATAAAATATATAAAAATATCGCATTATGAATATTGTAAAAAAGTGAAAAAAAAAATTAAAAATACTTTTAAAAAATAAAATACCTTAGCGTAACGTATAAGACTCTCATAAACACGATATGTTGTACAATGTTATGTAATGTGGAGACCGATAGGAAAAAAAATTGAGATTAGTGTCTCTAACATCATTTTGTCTTCTATAAAAACAAGATCTATTCGGTCATCAACAAATCATTAATGAAAAGCTAATAAATAGAGAGAAAAAACTTAAAAAGAAGGAAAATTATGTATCGTGTTGCTTTCATGGCTCTCTTCTTGTGTCAATTTTAGAACAGGGCCAACTTGTCCTTGTTTGAATTAACAAGTGTAAAGCTTTGTTATATACTGCGCTTTTCTACATTCATCAATCTCAATAGTTTGCTGGTAGCTCAAGTTTTTTCTTGGATGTGGATTCCAAACTCAAAGTGGATAAGATCAACCACATACCTTTGGATGATAGCTGAGTTTAATGGATGTCGTCAAGGTTTGTGACATCATCTTATGAATATACACGCTCATGATCATCCACTAGTGAGACTTGGAATCTAAATCCAAGTCTTGATTTTGACTATCTCTTAATTCAAAGTCAACGTTTGGTTATCTGATTTAAGCTACACTACCTAATTAATCCAAGTTTATTGACTTTCAATTTGAAGTCCGATTTCAAATCAAGTTTATCTATCCAAACCCATTTTTCAGTACTTGCCAGAATTGCATGCTCATTCGGAGTCAAACCTAACACCTAAATTCTAACTTCATTCCAAGTCTATCTTGCAACTCTTCTCCTACATATCTCCTATCATGATAAGCATGTCATGAATCTGGGGGGTCAAATTGGACGTAAAGTCTTTTCATACTATCTTATACGAAATTTACTAATCACACAAGAAATAATTTCTTAAATATGATATTAATCTATTTTTCCTAAAACTTTTTTTTTACCTTGTGATATGAAATTGATCACCTGATAGTGACATGTAGTCGATAGTCTGGTGTCATGCAGGTGACATATGCCCGACATGTAGCTAACATCATAATGCTATGTGGACGACGTGTTCGATACATCAATAGTTTGAAATCACGTGGTCAACACCTCGACATATTGACAAGTCAAACCAATCAATGTGTGTCTCACACTTAACGTCACAATCTTAATTAAGCCCAAGAGTAATATAAAATTATTCTTTATAATTATCGATAATCTCGAAAGTAACGATCCCTATGACCCACTATAAAGGGACGTAGGAAAATCTAAGAGTGACATCACATACGCAACAGAAGAACATTAAAAATAAAATTTTTAATTCCTTAAAGATGTGTACGTCATCATGTGAAGATTGGTCCGCAAAAATCATAAAACTTAAAATTATGTATATGAAAGATTGTGTTACCTAAGAAGATCGTATATTCCTGAATCCCTGTAGATATCTAGGATAGGGTAAAGGAGGTCAAGTATCCTCCTCTCTAGCGGTGATCCACACAGCAAAGGAGATCAAGTATCCTCCTCTCTAGCGGTGATCCACACAGCAAGTATCCTCCTCTCTAGCGGTGATCCACACAGCAAAGGAGATCAAGTATCCTCCTCTCTAGCGGTGATCCACACAGCAAGACTGTGACGATGCTCCTCAAAACTCTAAGCCTGCTATCTGAGGAGGAGAAGGGGAGGAAAATAAGAGAGATAATTCAAAAAAGCTCTAGCCTATGAACCACCATTAGTTCCCTCATATTTATAGAGGTTCCTTGTCAGCTTAACCCTAATGGATCTTGCCCTATTGGGTATTGGATCTCCATCCAACTACACAAACCTCTTAGATTAATGGATCTCTATCCAATAATCTCTCATTGGCTCTTATTGGATCTCATTCATAAGATCCAATAATTTACAGGCATATTGGATATCTAATAAGATAGGAGCTCCGATGGATATCTCATATCTGAACATTTACTCATCACAACACCTGTCATATGTGTGTGACCCTCTAGGCTCAATATCGAGCTGGCCGTGAGTTATACCTGTCAGAACTCCTTCTGGCTTAGTGAATTATTATCTCCTTAATAATTCACTCGACTCATCGATTATGGTCATACTAGGCCACTACACCGTAGTCCCCAAACGATACAAGGGAATCCAATCTATTGGATATATCTATCCTTAGTTACCGTGTGCCTATAGTCCCTCATTCATCTAATATCTCAGAGACCGTATACCGGGCATGGTGTTGTCAGACTCATACGATTTCTGCTCAAGTCTCGCTCTAATGAAATTCTCCCGAAGAACTCTTTCTCTCTTAATTAGAATAACCCTAGCCAGGGATTTGTTTGAGCAAGAAAACATGAGATATTCCTCTCATGACACCGAAAGTGGATGATCCTCTATCGACACTCAACAGTCCTCGTAAGGTTGGCTACCACTCCCGATGACCGGTTGTGTTAGATCTAGAACCTCCAAACCTATAAGTCTAGTATCAAAGAATAGAGTACTCATATAGGACATCTTTGATGTCTCAAGTCTAAGGACCAGATACACCATTGGAACTACCGAATCACTATATAACAATAAAGCATCATCAACCATCCAGTATTCCGTAAACAGATCAATCAGTCAATTCATTCTCCAATGAGCACCTATATTGTATCCCTAGTATCCCCACACGAGCAGCTATAAGACTAGCTGCATCCATCATATGGATGGGTATATAGAACACTGATCTGTCCGGTTATCTCGATATCCCTCTTGAGTAACCTATGATCAGAATTATTTATGATCTATGTTTAAAGACGAATCGGTCTTATTATTGTGATCTCATCACGATCCGATTCTCATTGTACAGTTTCATGGACATCACAATATATTCAAGCAATAGACAATATAAAGTGATAAAATATCAAATAATAATAACAAACAAAAAAACTACGTGTGAAGTCACACGTATCATTACTCAAGTGATTAACTTACATGACACCCATGACTCTTCGTATATATTTCTCAGAAACACAAAAGTTCTTTTCGGATATTTTCACTTCGAGCAAAGCTAACTTAGAGACGGCAAACTTAGCCTCCAGTTCCGACAATCAAAATAAAGACAAACATTGCCCAAAGTATAATGCAGTAATAACATTTTTTTTTTCTCTCTTTTAATGTAACAAAATCTTTATCGCTAAAAGCTAAGACTAAGGATTCTAAGCATGAAAGCTCATTTTGCTGCCAATAAGCTGTCTTTTCAGTTGAGCAAGTTGCTTTTAACTGTTAGATTAGACCATTTTCTGTAGCTATAACTTGTTGGAATAGAAACAAAAAAAAAGGTGAAATGGAGTAATCACTCTTTTCTGATTGTTTCTTTTTCTATATCTGAAGCCAATATAATTTCCATTGATGAAGTTGTTCAACACTGGTTTGTGATGGACAAGTTTCCAAAATAATTCTCTGAACTTTGACCGATGAGAATCAAACAAGTTTTCACTTGTAGAATCACAGCAAGCTAAAACTGCTGCAGCTCCTTGAAAGAAGAAGATACACTGCATCATCATCTCATATCTGCAACTCGTGACTTGAGATCTATAGAGGACGAGAAATATTTTTAGGGTTCTCAAAGAACTCTGTACTTGATTGAGGATCAACTCAAGCATATTTATTACTTGATCTCAAGTCATAAAGAATTTAATTCGTCATCCTTTTTTTTCTCGCTTGAATAGGATAGAGGTTGAAGATACAAACCTCGTCGCTCTCTTAGGCCACACCTCTTGCATCTTCCTGGCGTGCAAGCGAACGCGTTTTCCGATTAGGGTTAGGTGAGATGTCTGGTTCTGCACGGTAGACATCGATGCATGCTTCGTTGCTATACCAGTCCACTGTTCATGAATGGGTTTCTTTCTCATGCGCTTGATTGATCTCTTTGACGAAACATGCAGCATGTAATATGCATGATCGATCGTACATCAGCAGTGAACTTATGCATGCAAATACATACATAATAATCGAAGATATGTAAGGCCTTTGCAGCCACATCTGTGTTCGGAGGCCTTTGCAGCCACACCTGTGTTCGGAGGGCCTTTGCAGCCACATCTGTGTTCGGAGGCCTTTGCAGCCAAGCTTGTGGAACAAGTCATCGAGCTCGTCAACATGCTTTACACGCTCTCTCGTTACTATATGGTTGGATGCGTCTTCACGTATGCCAAGTCGAGGAGTTCATTTCCAAGACGACAGAGCGACTTCCTCTCCCCTCCATGGGGCGTCGCTTTACGCGACGTGATATGCATGGAAGAACATGCAAGAACAGACAATTAAAACATGAAATAGGAAAGGAATTATAATCTATAAATTGAATTTGAGATTCGAAAAATTAAACAATCAATCTACTTATATATTTTTGTGAATGGGATCGCATTATGTATCTTTTCCTTTGATCCTTATAACTTTGATATTGTATTTACAAATTCAATAAATAAAGTACAATATTGAATATATCTATCTATATATCAAAAGCACAATAGTAAGATGTCTAAAATGTAATAGTTAATTTATCCAGTAATTAATTAAGATTTGAAAAGGAGAGAAAAAGGAAATTTGTAGAAACTGAGGACAAATTTCAACTATATATATATTTATCTTAAAGTAAGGAAAAAGGCATTTTTCATGAAATAATAAACTCTAAAAATAGGGGGGGAAATGTAAGTTTCCACATGCTGCGATCGCAGTGCTATCCCCTTTCTTTGAACTCCCGCGTCCTTTTAAGAGCGAGCGCGGCGCGGCACGGCACGGCAGTGGACTCACCTTCCCTCTCGGCTCCTCACCGTTGCCTCCTCCGCCAGCGAGCATGGACGTCCGCCAAAGGTCCCTCCAGCGGCTCTCCTCGGCCGCCGCTGCTCCCTCTGTGGCGGGAGGAGCTCGTCGCCCCGCCGATGCTTTGGTTCAGGCGTCCGACGTCCTCCCGCTCCCGATCCGGTACACCAACTTCCTCTTCTCCGGCGTCTTTATCGCCTCCCTCGTCTTTCTCATGCGGCGGTGGCGCGAGAAGGTCCGCTCCTCCGTCCCGCTCCACCTTCTCGGACTCTCTGAAATCCTCGCCGTCGTCGGCGTCATCGCTTCCCTCGTCTACCTCATCAGCTTCTTTGGCATCGCCTTCGTCCAATCCATCGTCTCTTGCCACGACGACGAGGACGAATTCCTTCTTTCCGCCCCTGTCCCCGGCCCCGCGGCCGCTGCTTGCGCTATTTCGCTCGCTACCGACCCCATTTGTCCGCTCCTCTACACCGACAATGCCGCCCCCCGAAAGGACCCGGAGGTCACTGCCGAGGACGAAGAGATCATCTCCTCCGTGGTCGCAGGTAGGACCCCATCTTATGTTCTCGAAGCCAGGCTAGGGGATTGCAGGAGGGCGGCCGGGATCCGGCGGGAGGCCCTGAGGAGGATCACCGGAAGGGCGTTGGAGGGGTTGCCGCTCGATGGATTCGACTACGCGTCTATCATGGGGCAATGCTGCGAGCTCCCAGTGGGGTACGTTCAGCTTCCGGTGGGTGTCGCCGGACCTCTGGTGCTCGACGGAAGGGAGCACTACGTGCCGATGGCGACCACAGAGGGGTGCCTGGTGGCCAGCACCAGTAGGGGTTGCAAGGCTATCGCGCAATCCGGAGGGGCCACGAGCGTGGTGCTCAGGGACGGCATGACGCGGGCGCCGGTCGTGAGGCTGCCCTCCGCAAGGAGGGCTGCTGAGCTCAAGGCCTTCTTAGAGGAACCGAACAATTTCGAGACCATTGCCTTGGTGTTCAACAGGTGTTCGACTATTTGATGCCTTATGTTTCATCTAAATAAGGGAAGATGGTGATTGGGGTTCGCACTGTTCTGCTTTAGGATATAGATATTTAGACATCTTCTTCTAAATTTCGTAACTTGAGTCTTCCTTTAATTGTTGCTAGCTTGGCCTTGATTACATTTCTCTTTCAGCTGTCTGGCTCCTACTTGGTGATCTAATGAGCTTGTTCTTAGGAAAAAGTTTGACCTTGTTATGGTATTCCTTAGCCTCTTGCATTTGTGATGTCAAAACTCTTGTCAGGTTTCTATTAGCTTCAATCTTCCTATGCCAAAGTTTTCAGCTTTGCTTTTGTTTTTCTTGATAGTCAACTTTCAATGGGGGAAAAATGTCACCATGTCAGTTGGTAGTTGAGAATGGATCAAGCTCTTCCTTTTTGTCTAATACAAACTTAAATTTGAATGTTTCATGATCTTAGATGATGTGGGTAGTGAGTCCTTTAGGGAATTGGTAAACTTAATTTCCTGCACATGTTTCTGAATTGTTCTTCACCTTTCACTTGCATTTTCCTGTAGTTTGAGCATAGGAATTCATTGGCACCTTTGTGCTGTTGTTTTGACTCCCTTGTAGCTTTTGTAGTCCACTGAAGTCTCATTAAATTGCATGTTTGTCACAGGTCTAGCAGATTTGCCAGGTTACAGGCAATCCATTGTGCTCTAGCTGGGAGGAATCTCTACATGAGATTCAGTTGCAGCACTGGAGATGCAATGGGGATGAACATGGTTTCCAAAGGCGTGGAGAATGTATTGGGCTACCTGCAGAATGACTTCCAGGACATGGATGTCATCAGTATCTCAGGTTAGATTATTTGCCCTGCCTTAGACTTGCTAGATTGTTATTAAGCTGTTTGTGTTCCAGTATGTTTCTTAATTAATTGATGATGGATGGAGATCCCTATGGTGAAGTCTCTTTCAAAATGTGTACCACAACTAGAACTTCACTAACCTTTCTATCTGCTGTGGAGCTGTTCATTGGGATGCTTGAGTTATAATGATTTACTCTTCTTTTGGGTTTTCTTATGGATTTATACTGCATAGATTTATCAAAAATGCTACAAGTACACACAAAGTATATACCACTTGACATGATGCATCCCTGTCACTTGCTAACCCAATTAAATAGGCTGAATTTGATGTTTCCATGTGTAATCATGTCACATGGATAAGGTTAAGTGTCATGTGGATCACACCACATCTAGCAGTTTACGTGTTTGCTTTGTGTTTACATGCTGCAAGATTGAGGCTCATTTTCTTTGACTTTCCTGCGGTCAACCCATGACAAGTCAAAAGAGTAAGTGTTCAAAGTTTGCTACTTTTCTTGACCAATTGACAATGAATTGAGATCCTTATGGAGGTGTCTCTTCCAAAATATGTACCACAAGGAGACTTCGTTAATCTTTCTATTTGCTGCGGAATTGTCATTGGGATGCTTGATTCATATTGATATTAACTCCTTTTGGGTGTTTTCTTGTGGACTTTTACTGCATAGATCTATCAAAAATGCTGCATGTACACACGAAGTATACACCGCTTGACATGGCAGCCCACGTGGAATGTGGATGATATGTAAGCGCAACGCGGATGACACCACATTGAGTAGTCAACGTGTGTTCTTCGTGTGGACATGTCGCAAGACTGTAGACTCGGGCCAATCCACGACGAGTCAAAAGACAATGTTAAGATAGTGATGTGTTGCCTCGGTGGCAAATGACATGGATGATACTGTAACCAGCACATTCATGCACCTATATGAATTCTCATGTGTTGATGAGATTTACAAGATCACTGAGCAACACATATAGATGACTCAGAATTTGCCTGATACACTTCAAGCTGTTGTGTTGCTTGATGCAAAATTTTCTTAAGTGCCAATCCACCTAGTGTTTTTATCTGTTCAATAGGAAAAGGCTAAAATGTCAAATGCCTATATCGAACTTCTCATTATTTGCTCTGTAATGCTTCTCTTGGCACTGACCAGGCAATTTCTGCTCCGACAAGAAGCCGGCTGCAGTGAATTGGATTGAAGGACGGGGCAAGTCGGTGGTTTGCGAGGCAATCATCAAGGAAGAGGTGGTAAAGAAGGTTCTTAAGACCAACACATCTGCACTGGTGGAGCTCAACATGATCAAGAACCTTGCTGGCTCAGCGGTTGCTGGATCTCTGGGGGGTTTCAATGCTCATGCCAGCAACATTGTGTCAGCCATCTACATTGCCACTGGCCAAGATCCAGCTCAGAATGTGGAGAGTTCTCACTGTATCACCATGATGGAAGCTGTGAATGGTGGAAAGGATCTTCATGTTTCTGTGACTATGCCATCCATTGAGGTAATATATCAATCTGATTTCCTAATAAATGTAGTGTGTAGCCCGAACTTCATGATGCAGTCTTTACTCTTTCCTAGCTAAGTATCTGTATGGTATGATGTCATGTACAGATTTTTCTTTTTGAGTTTGTTTTTTATGAGTGATGACATCCTCACTTAACTTCAGGATGCATATTCATAGTCTTACACATTGATTTGACTATCTAACTTCCTCCTGTTACACATTGATTTCCATAGCTAAGTATCTGTATGGTGTGATGTCATGCATAGAAATTTGGATACTTGCTGCATTGGTAATTAATTTTGTTAACTATCTGTTTGGCTTCCTATCCAATGAAAAACTTCAAATAGATGGCTTAAGGCAAATAAATTCACCTCAGGATGAAAAACACAACAAATAAAATGCAGCTGTATATTTATTTCTCTTACAGCTAGTTATATCCACAAACTTGTTGGGTTCTTTCTTTGATTTGTCCAATTCACTTATCAAGACTATTGCACTGTAGAGATGGGTTCAATTCTATTAGCACCATCAATCAACCTGATAGACTATGCAAATTTCTTGAATCTGATATACTCAATAAGCTGTTGGCTACTGACCTATCCTCGTACTCTTTTGATGAATATTTTCCATATCTATGCTGTTCTACTGATCGACATGACTTGCATCCAGTGGCAAAGGATATTAATTGATTGGCTTTAAGAGTTCAAAATTTGGTATCATTTGCAAAAGGGGCTCATGCTGCCTGCATTGTCAACAGGTTGGCACAGTTGGGGGTGGGACTCAGCTGGCTTCCCAGGCTGCCTGCTTGGACTTACTCAGTGTGAAGGGCGCAAGCCTGGAATCTCCTGGGGCAAATGCCCGACGACTGGCAGCTATCGTGGCAGGCGCAGTTCTAGCCGGGGAGCTCTCTCTCCTCTCAGCTCTTGCAGCTGGTCAGCTTGTGCAGAGTCATATGAAGTACAATAGATCAGAAAAGATTTCTCCAAAGCTGCCACCTGAATGAAACCATGTCATCTTAAACAGCTTCCTCGAAGATGGACAAAATTTCTTAAGCTAGCAAGGTCGATTTGCAAGGAACATAAATAAAGGTGAAGAGATCCTGGGATCTACAACTAGTTTCTTGCTGTAGGTGGGTTCATATGGTTATTGAAACAGTTCTCTCTTCTGTTGTAACATCTATGTATATGAACTTTGCAGGCTCATGGTGCAATTAAATGAACTCTTTTGCTTCCTCCTGGTTATTGACTTACCTTTTCTTAGTTCATCTTCACTGTATTTTGTTTAAGAAATTGCTGTGTCATGTGATTTACTATGTCACCATATAGTATGGCAACATGCAAGAACTATGGAGTTGTCACATCAAATGCCACACATTTTTGCCTCTAGATGTGCCTTTTCCTCAATATTACATGATACTTATCATAATAGGAAATAAGCTTAATACTTTACTGTACGCAGAACAAATACTTTGACATGCAAAATAAAATAAAATTCTAAGATTGCTAAACCAAAGGATCCTACCAAGCTTGTTTCAGTTGAGCCTAAAAGAAGTAACGTGAATCTTGAGTTGATAACGATTCTATAATAGAATGAAATATAATTTCATAAATTTCTTGAGATTATATATGTTTATGTATGTAGGTCACTTCATGTTTCAACTCATGTTTTTTATCTTAATGGAGAGAGACAATTTATCACAATAACCCGTTGAGATATGATTATATATATCTAATTCATTTAAGATCTTAGACTGTTAACACTTTTAGATGTACATAAATGATTTTAATAGATAATTAAATAAAAAAGTTAAAATTGTTAGATTTAATTAGCATAATAAATTATAGATACTTATACTCAAAGATTTTACTCATCAAAGAATGCATCGATCATAATGAGATATTTTTTCTAATTTTTTAAATAAACTTATTAAGAATCATAATAATATTAGTGGGTCACTATGATTTTGGGTTATATTATATGAAACTAAAAATAATTTTTCTGAATAAAGATATAGATATATATGGGTTGACCTCAATGATTTGTAAAGAAAATAAAAAGAAAAGAGATGTAAATTTTGGTATATAAATTTAGAAAATTCATTTATGACCTTAAACAAGCCCCCAAATAATGGTATTCCTTCAAATTTAAGAAAAATACTATTACTTAGTATTTATATTTGAAGATTAATGAGAATAAGTTTATTATATTAGTCTTATATATGAATAATATTTTGCTTGGTATTATCATGATTTATTATATCAAATCAAAAAAATTCTCATCAAGAATTTCAAAATGGTTGGTATGAATAAGGCATCTTATGTTTTTGACATTAAAATATTCAAGGATAGACCTCAAGAATTATTAAGACTATCTTAAAAAAGATATATGATCGAGTCTTAGAAGGATTTAGAATACAACTTTATTCAACAAATGACTTTAAAATAAGTGTTTAAAATAACTTAGAAAAAAAATTAGATAAAAAAAATATTCATTATATATGCATAGTTGAAAGTCTATTATATACTAAGCCTATACCAGAATAGATATTAATTTTATAATCGAAGTACTAGATATATATTAGAGTTAACCAAGAATAAAATACTATAGAGAAAGTAATAAGATATCTGAAAGGGACGAACAATTATATGCTCATATATATAAAAATAGATCAACTTGAAATAATAATATTTTTAGATACTGATTTTATAAATTACCTCGATAATAGGAAGTCCACTTTATGCTTTATATTTATGTTAGTTAGAGGGATAATTTCCAGAGAAAAATATTAAGTAATATATTATTGCATTAAGAGTTGATTTTGTGGTTTGCTTTGAGACCACTAATCAAGTTTTATGATTGCGAAAGTTTATCTCGGGACTTGATGTGATAAGACTCAATTATCAAGTCATTGAAGATATTTTATGATATATCACAGTAATTTTATTCTTTAAAAATAGAAAGTACTCTATTAGTTTTATGTATTATGATATAAGTACATGATAATAGTAAGAGAAAAAAAGTTTAAAAATAATTAATATTAATTAAAAACTTGAGTTCCACTATTGATTATTGATCTATTCATTTATGACTTATAGTCTAAAGTATTTATAAGAATATATTTTTATAATTATGTTTATGAGTAATCTATAAAAGATATGGTGATGCATGTTTGAGTGGATATTATAATTGACATTCTTATTTACACACTTAAAGTTGTTTGTTTCTTTTATCCTGTTCATATTTATGTATATACATATTATGGTTGAATGTGTATAATAGGATTATCTTGACAAGATAAATTACATAAGTTATTTCGAACTATATTAGGAAGAACTAATAGTGTTGTTGTATATAAAAGAAAGTATGACACTAATGATATACAATCGTTATGACTCACATCGGTAATCAAACTTAATATGATATTATTATATTTATTAGATTTATTAGCCTATTTTATAAAATTTGTACGCGTGTGTAAATTATTTTTTCAAGATTTTAGAATTCAATTATGTAAAATTATTTTTAAATAAAATTTTATTTTATTTATTTTAATTTTTTTTAAAAAAATTATATCTTATTAGTTAATGGGTCAAGTGGAAGGATACTATATTATATTATTTTATTTAATTAAATAATATATATTATAAATATAATTATATTCTGATTATGATTAGTGACAAATAGAAAGTAAAAGATGTCATGATGTCATGAGAATCCTCATCCTTTATTTATCCATAATATATAGATATACATATTTAATTTTATTATTTAAAATTAAAATTTTTTGAATAACAGTAACAATATTGCAGCGCTCTATCTCGTCGCTCGAATGCGCGACCAACGGCTACGAAGAAAGCTTGGTTCTCCACCGGGGCGGCTACGCCACGATCTACAAGGCCGTAGATCACCATCAAGAAGTCCAAGATCACCAACAATATCGAGATCGAGCAGTTCATCGACAAGGTGATCGTTCTGTCCCACATCAACCACCGGAATGTGGTGAAGCTGCTGGGGTGCTGCTCGGAGACGCAGGTTCCCTCGCTGGTCTGCGAGTTCATACCCAACGGAACCCACCCTCTTCCACCACATCCATGGCGAAAGCCGCAAGGGCTCGCTGTCCTTGGCGAACCGCCTGAGGATAGCGTCAGAGACGGTGGGGCGTTGGCCTACCTGCACTCGGCAGCATCCTCGCCGATCATTCACAGGGATGTCAAGTTCGCCAACATCCTCCTCGACGACAGCTGCACCGCAAAGGTGGCAGACTTGGGAGCGTCCAAGCTCATGCTGTCCGACCACGACGGCCTGCCGTCGCTGGTTAAGGGCACGCTGGGGTACTTGGACCCCGGGTACCTGCACACGTCTCAGTTCACCGACAGAAGCGACGTCTACTGCTTCGGCGTCGTTCTGGTCGAGCTGCCGACGGGGGAGGAGCCCATCATGGTGGGCAAATCATCGGAGAAGCGGAACCTCGCGAGACACTTCCATTTCCTGCTCGAACCAGAACCAGTTCCACGAGGTGTCGGAGGACCGCACGATGGACGAGGGCTCGCCAGAGCTTCTCACGATGCTCACTGAGCTCGCGAAGAGGTACCTCGAGATGAGGGGGGACGAGAGACCGACGATGGAGGAGGTGGCCATGGAGTTGGAAGGGCTGCGGAGGCTGGAGAAGCAGCACCCTTGGTTCAAAGACAACGACGAAGAGGAGGAGAGATTGCCGAGAGAGACCGCATCATCCGACAACGATTTCCGGTCAACGTTCATCGACGACCAAAAATGCAAGACGTGTGTGTGTGTATGCTCGCAACATCTCTGTAGAGATGTAGAGATTATGCACAGTGATGAGTTCGATTGCATTCAGCTGCAAAAAATAATAATAAACTCAATCTTCCTCTAACACAAACTTTAACCCTTCTCCCAATTTCGAAATGCAACTAAAACGCTAACCATTAGGATGTCATAACAACATTAAATCCTCGAACATAATTATGCAAATATTTCTCCAAGTTGATTTTTTTTATTTATTTATTCTTCTTTTCGGAGATCACATCACCACCGCAAAGAGGATAAGAGTTGGCAATCCCATCAGCCACTACCTAAAGGGATCAATAAGAAGAAACCAATTGGATGACATGATCTACCAAACAAATTGACTTTTGTCCAACGCGAACACTACAAATCTTGATTAGATCGGTTGGTTCGATCAGAAAGAAACTCTGAACCGAATCTTTTACCCTTGTTGTAATATCGAAACAGTCCTAAGTCAAAATGAACAAGATAAAATCATTAAATCGATTTGAACCTAATATAATCCGTTTCCGATTCAGTTTGATTAAGGTAAGATAGACTTGAATGGAAACTGATGAAGATCTACCTAATCAAATTAGTTTAAAGTTGATTAATGGATTGGTCAATTTATAATTTTAAGTAACTTAAAAATATATTTTTTTAAATGAATCGATTCGAACCAAAATCTTAATCCAATTGCGTCAAATCTATAAAATTGGACCACCGTTATTTGTGAAATTATGTTATTGAAATCATGTCAAATTAGGCCTTTAGGCCGATTTGATTAATTAGTTGGACCAATCAAACCAGAGTTTAATATTTTTAAATTAAAATTGGTTTGATTGAATCTGAATCGATAAACCACACCAAAAAAGAATGGGAAAAAATCATTGATGTTCTAGTTAACCCGATGTGGTTCGGACCCATGTGCTTTGGGTTGCTTGGGGTGCCTCCGAGGTGTAAACATCACGCTCTCTCGAGACGCCACCTGCACAAAGACCAAGGTCAAGAGATATTTCTCAAGTTTATAACCTAAGATAGTGAGTATGGATGTGAATAGTAAAAAAGTGATCCTCCTTTTCATTGTGTTGAAAATGAGCTTTTATATCTAGTCGTAAAAGGACAAAATATTTTATGAAATATTGTACGGGGAGGCAACCTCTAATCGCCTCCAACAATCTCCCCTAGGCCTTTTATCCACACAAGCAACAAGAGGGAACAATCTATAACCGTCTGTCTAGGATCCGTATCCACATGGGCGAATAGGAGGGTAGTCTTGGTCTTTGGCTTCTACATGGACACCATGTAGAAGCCATGTGTCGAGTGATTACTGGCTGATGATGCTCTTCTTATCATTTGTCCACCTCTCCCCTCTCCCCTCAAGGTATTTTGTTAGGTTTCTCGACCACCACGCCTCAAGCAGAGGAGGGGTTCGAGTTTTCCTATCGCCACGCTTCAAACGAGGGAGGGGGTAGTTTCTCAACCTCCACACTTCATGTAGAGGGGATTGGGATTTCCCGACCTCCATATCTCAGGTGGAGTTAGGGGTCGAGTTTCCCAATCTCTAGACCTTGGGTGGAGGAGAGACCCGACCTCCACATCTTAGGTGGAGGAGGGACTTGACCTCCATGATTCCTGATTTTTATACCTCAAGTAAAGTTAGGGGTCAGGTTTCCCAACCTCCACGCCTCGGGTGGACAAGGGGGTCGAGTTTCTAAACCTCCCTAGCTCAGTAAGGACTGCAGCGAGGGATGCGAGCGTTATTGGCGGCGATCCATCACCAACTTGCCCCTCTTCTTCTGCTTATCGTCGAGGTAGGCCACGAGAGGAGCCGAGGCGGACTACAAGTAGTGCAAAGGTGGTCTCCTCTTTGCTTGTCTCAACGACGATGAGTACTACTCTCCACAACCATTGAAGTGGAATGTGCTATGTATAGAAATGGACTATCATTAGGGTTCCAAACAAATAAGATAACTACTTTTTTACTTTCATCGAAAAATATTAGAATTATCGATTGGTGAATCAGCATGGCTAGGTCCACGGGTCGATGTTGGGAGTTTTCTATTGGCTGAACTGGATGCGAAGGTAGGTCGGGCCTTTGCGACGGGGTATTGGTCAATGTTTCTTGGTCCGAGCACCGTTTGCGTCACTCGCGTGGATTAAATGTCAAGAGAAGGTTGTCGGAGACGGTTAGAGGTTGCCTCCTCGTAGAATATTCCATAAAATATTTCATCCCTTTTACGACATAGTATAAAAGCTCATCAACGCAATGAAAAGGGAGGTCACTTTTTGACCACTCACATTCAAGATTATTTTTCGATCACTCGCGTCCACACTCACTTATCTCGGGTTACTAACTTAGGTGTTGGAGGAATCGAGTCAAAAAACCTCCCCCGATCTCATTCTTTATGCATATGACACCTCGAGAACTCGATGTTTTCATGTCAAAGGTACCCTGGGCAATCCTACGCACATGAGTCTAGACCACGTCAAGTTGACCAGGACATCAACGACTTCTTCCCATAACAAAAATCAAACTATTAATAAATCACTTCAAACCAAACCGATTCGATTTGGTTCTTTGATTTGGTTAGAACACCCCACTAAAAACTTAAACAACATAATAAGTCTATTATCATTGATTTGGATTAATGGTTCAAGCTTAACCAAGTTAATAGTTAGCTCAAACCTAATAAGTTGGATTCATTAATTGGATTATTTTTTATTCATATTGATCATAACATTTTAAAGAGCTCTTATATTTATTTTTTATGATATTTTATGTTTTCCCTCTCAAGAATCATATGATATTTTATGTTCTCTTTTATTCTTTCATCTGTTTGCCTTTTCTCATCATATTTTTAATCACTATCCTTTTAATAAATCATTTTTTATATTCTATTACCAACTCACACTTTTTTTATGTTATCAGAGAAAAATGTCATTAACGTCTTGATCAACCCGACGTGGTCCAAACCTATATGTGCAAGAATATTCAAGGTGCCTCCAACGTGAAAACATCGTGCTTTTGAGATGGATTCGAGATGGATTTTGATATTGCTCTAATGTGTTGAGCTCTTAAGGTACCATCTACACTAATATTAAGGTCGAGAGAGGTTTCTCGACTTGATCCCTTCGACTCTCAAGTTAGTAATCCAAGATCTCCAAACGTGAGTTCAAGTAATTCAAAAGGAATCGATCATTCTTCTATTTCCCTATTTAAAATATATTTTTATATCTTAAAGGAGAAAAAAAAAGTTTGTGATATCATTCTTTGTCATAAAGGAAAAAAAAGATTTAAAATTATCTTCATTGTCATAAAAGAAAAGAATAAAGTTTAAAATTACCTTCCTCGTTATAAAGAAAGATAATAAAGTTTGTGATTATCTTTCTTATCATAATAAATGAAAAAAAGATTTGTTTTTCTTTATTAGGCTAATGACTTGAATGACACATGAGGGTTGTATCAACTATTAGATTTTTTTTTTTATCAGATATCAACATATTTTTCCATCAACCATTCCAGAGTTTATATTCTTTTTTTAGTTTGGTTATCAAATTTCATGAGATGGCGACAAAGAAGCATTTCACAACGATATCTTTTATTGTATATATTTCTTATTACATCTCATGTCCTTCTGCACAAACTCCATCGCCAGCTCAATAAAATAATGAATCATTTATGCACTCAGCCTTGTCGTCTTTGCATGCTCATCAGCATCAAATCCACTTCCTATGTGTAAAGTTGAAAGCGTATAGTGCCATAAAAGTAACCCAACCCTTCTCTTTCAAGCTTTTTCCCTTTGCGTTGGACTCCAAAATTCATATGATTCACGCAACTCAATGACATCCTTTTACGGTTCATTTCCTCCTTTAATTCCATCCGTTTCACAACTCATGAATATAAAATATTTGAAGATTCTGTGAAATCTGAAGCATTAGAAATACAAACAAATTGTAAATTTTTCTTACACTCTCTCTTATAGAAAATATAGTCTTAAAATATTCCATCTCCTCAGTACATATTTTGTGTACTAACCTCAATAGGTCGCTTTGTAGAGCTTTCAAGTCTTAATATCATTTTTATTGGACGAGTAAAAGATTTATTCTTCTATCTAATTCCTTCTACTTTTTCATGTTTCCTTTACTCATCTTCCACTCACCATCACTGTCTCCAAGGTTAGCTTTATTCTACACTTTCCCTATGTCATCTCCTCTTGCATTATTACATCAACTTGAGAAGGAGAATGCTCCTTCTCATGTTTAATGTACATTTCACAAAATTATACTTCGATCCTTGCCATTTATTTCCATTGGTCATCTTGACAAATAATTTTTAAAGATGATTTTTTATGTTCAGTTAAATTATTCTTCATTTTCATATTAATATATTTTTAGTAAGGCCTACACATAATATAACAAAAAATAGAGGTGTCTAATTATAAATGACCATAGGACGAGGGTCGATTATGTTAAGTGTAAGGACTGAAACGTAAAGACAAAGGAATAAAGAAAACTTCAAGGTTCGATATGTAAAACTTACCAAACCGCACCCATATATGCCGAGGACTCGACTTCGCCGTCTTCCTCACCCTTCTGCGGAGACAATGGAGGATGGAATGAGGACAAGGAGCTTCAGGGACGAGGACTACAGCAACAGGAGGGCGTTCCTGCGGAGCTACCCGCTTCAGTGGGGAGAACAGAAGGAAGAAGAGGAAAGGGAGGGTTACCAGAAGGAAGCAGCGGCGTCGCGGGAGCACCAGGCCTCTCTCAAGACCAGGCTTGCAGTTGTGCTACAGTGGGGTGGGGCGACGCTCCTGCTCCTCAAGAGGTGGAAGAGGAAGATTGGGTGTTACTCTGTGGCTTGCGGTCCTTTTGGGTTCAACAAGCCTTCCCACAAGCTGCTCCCGGTCTAGTGTTCTTCGCCCGCCATCTTCCCCCGTGTCGAAGACCAGATGTAGCTTCGTGAACACATGGAGCATGATCATGAATCTGTATGCTTGTTTTCAGATATTGTCTTTGAGGCTCCTTTTGTTGAACTTCGATTTTTCTGATGCTTGCTGGTTCTCAAGAAATCAGTGCATGAGATGAAGACATGACAGAGTTCTAATCTGTGCGTAATGGCTGGGATTGATGACTGAAGGGATGATGATGATGATGATGTCGATGTGCAGAGACTTGTTCTTCTGCGACGACCTTCTTCCACCTGATTTGCCGTGTAGAGTTGACTATCATTGACTTCTGGATCAGTTCTCCAGTGATCTCTCCATGGCTGTTCTGTCAGACCTACATGAGACGGGGAACAAATTAAAATCTAGATAGAAAGAAAGCAAGGCTCGTTAGTGAACTAAACTTACAGGAAAAAGAATTCTTGAAACCCATCAATTAGATTGAGAATGAGCATGTTCACCAATTAGATCGAGTTTGAAGATAAACCAAACATTCCAAAGTTACTTGGATGATCTCCAGCCGGGGGAGAAGGAAAATCCTGTGGAGGCAGGAACAAGTACCAGATCAGGAACAAAGGAGATTCCATTAACATTTAAACAAACAACATCATAAAGAAGCTGATGAAAATATGTCACTGAACATTTTGTTATTCGATTCAAGTCTGAACGATATGAGAAGACATGATTGTTTTGTGGATGTCACCAGTATGGAGTTGGTAATGTTAGGTAGCCCTCCATGGTAACCTTTTTCTTATAAGAACAATAATATAGAGAGAAGAATAACTTATCCTGTTTTTTTCTAGAAAATAATTATCAAAAAAAGGATACTGGAATTTTCAGGTTCAAATAGCTACCCAGTTTCAGGTACTACCTTTGTCATAAACAATAATGATCCGCACTTTAGTGCATAAAGGAGCAGGTTATTCACACAATCCACTTACCATACATGCAGAACAAAGTTTACGATATTAATTCTAGATCTCAGCAACCAAATGGTTTGTTTAAACAGCTTGTCATGCCACAGAAACAAATCGATGCAGTACAACTGGATCAAGGTTGATCCCCTCCTGGATTTATCTCAGCCCCTATTGTTATAGAATTGAATGCTGAGAAATTTTCCATAGGCAGCATATGAAGTTTTCCAAAACACACAATTAACATTCCAGATTCATAAAGCTGCCTCCCTACACATCTGAGGGAATATCTTACTGAGATACATTTGATCTTGATGAATCATCTGACATTGGTAACATGGTTGCCAAAGATATGCTCCAGCAACCTCTGCAACCAAGAGACAACTTCAAGCGATCTATTTTAGTTCATCAAAAGTGTGACGTTATAAATCTCTCTTCTTGAAGGAGGCACAAGTGGCTGACAAGAAGATGTGATTTTTTCAGCGCAAGGGGTTTGCTTCCCTTCATAGATTACCAACCATTTCAAGTGATGCTGACTGTATTAGCTACGGAATGGGGTTTGATTGTCAAACGGCAGCTCAATAGGTGTAGCGTTGCCATAAAATTCTTCCAAGTTGTAATAAGCTCGCTGCTGCGGAAGAAATATATGAACTACCACATCACCTGCGTGTGTAGTGAAAAGATCTGTGAGTAAGAAAAGAACCATCTCTCGAAAAGAAAGGAAGAGAGAGAGAAGGATTCCGGTAGCTAACAGTGAAAAAAATCAATAGATGATAAAAAATAATCCACTCAACAATGTACGTGTCAATCAGTGTCTGCTTTCAAATGCATTGCAACACAAAGACATATATCAAGAACAGATGTAAAAAGGCTTGGCAAGCAATTCAGAATTTACCAAGCCAACTCAATTTGGTTGGTTAGTATGTACCCCCAACACATACCGGAAGTTAAAACACCTCAAATGGCATAAATCAGTGCAACAGACTTACCAAAGTCTAGTAAGGTCCATGAGTTGGGCTTGGTATCACCAGATGCAATTTTGTTAAATTGCTTTTCAGCTGTGTCTCGTATCTTTGACCTAGAATACAAGACACCAAGAAAAAGGCTTAGACAGCAAAATTTACCTACTGCAGAGGAGCTACAGATTGGATAAGCAAGGCTAACTAAATTTACTTTAATTGTTAATATATATGCTTTGAAGAGCAAATTGTATAGTGCAAACACTCAGCTAAAACAGAAGTTGCAAGTATTCTAGGAGCAAAATAAGTACCCAATTGCGTCAATTTGCGGTCGAGAAAAGGCTGTGACGATGATAAAAAATCGAGTCCAGTAAACCAGAGGCTTCACAAAGAGAACACGGATATCAGCAGCTTTGACCTCATTTGCAACTTTGGCTAGTGTGACCGCAACTACAAAACACATTTACCTCATCAATGCCAATTCATCCACATATTTATTGTAAAAAACATGGCATAAAAAGTTCTATGATTCGCTTCCACAATTTCTTTGTTGAATTCAGTTCAAGATAATATGTACCAAACAATAAAAAGGAATTACATATCCATCTGTCACTTCACAAAGAGTACAGTTTTGAAATGTCCGAGACAAGGATACGTGGGCATGTATCTCAAAAAGTTTGTGGGCGTAATGTGAGAGTCCATGGCAATTGGATCACAATACTACATTGTGTGATGTCATTTCAGGATGATCTCATATCATGTGAAAGATATTATGAAAAAATAATAATAATATTTTAGGCCTAACAGGTGGTTTCAAATAAGAAACTTCAAAACATGTCCTCGTATACCTACCCACAAAAACAACATTTTGTGGTAACCATAGCAATGTTCTGCAGTAAGCCTCAATTTTACCACCACAATATTAATGCTTGTGATAGCTCTGGCCCAGACCTACTCCCCCGCATCCTGTTATGCTATTATTAGGAAAACTTTGCTACCTTACCCATACATTCTCATGAGATGTGATAGTTTTAGCAATTATATGACTTCCTAGCAAGTAAAGTTCTTGTTTTTATCCCCTTCCAAATAATGATCCCCTGTTCTTGACATTGTGAGGAACACTGGGGACAATTTACGCAGCTTCTAAGCATAGTTATGGGGTGGGCTTACAAGACAAGCTCTCGGAATCATCATCTGCCTCTGCGGCAGGCCGCTTTTGGTCGCCGCTTTTGTATACCACCTTCCCGTACTTCTTGAACAAATCGTCGAACACGTCGTCCGCATCACCCGCACCCACTTCCTGCATGAGAACACGCAAACAGTCAATCATCAGAAGGCATATATACAGTGAACTACCTCTCATTTTCTTTCTTTTCCTTCCAATAAAGTTCTTGGGACCATGCGTTCTCGCGTGAGATGGGGGAGAGAAGAGCAGCTCAGAGAGGGACTGGGGCGAGGGTGGAAACGGGAGGAGAAAGATGCGTCGTACATGGTCGGAAGGCCTCCGGCAGAGCGCGACATGGAGGGACGAGGGAGACCGGCGGTTGCAAGGGAGGCAAGGAGCGGGTCGCCCCCCGCACCAACCCGTTGTCGTCGTTGTCGTCCTCATGAGATCGAGGGTGAGAGCGGGTTGGTGCCGCGGGCAGGAAGGAAGCGCTGCTAAGGCATGCATATTTCTCGGACTTGCGTAGTTTGTTTCGAATTGTCCGGTAGGATGGCGGAGGAGAGGAGAGGAGGAGGACGACGAGGAGACGGCGGCGGCGGAAGCGGAGATTTCTTTAAGCTGACCTGAGCAGAAGGCGCAAGGGACGGGGATAAAGCGTCCGCCTTTATCTCATCTTTATCACGATATATAT